TATTGAAAAAATAAAACTTGTTTATTTGGTATGGCTGGATCCAGTTTTCTATAAGCTTTTCAACGAGCCCCCTCATGCCTTGTTTCCATTTGAAAAAAAAAGTAAGGGTAGCTGGGGGTTAGGGGGTTGAAGAAAAATTAATTATTATATAACCGAAAGATGGGAAAAAATCAAAATCAGTTAATGTGTGTCGGCGTTTAAAAAAAAATTAACTCATTCAAAAGATATGAATTTTATTCCGTACTTTTGGCCATCCCTGTATATAAAATTGAAGCTTATATCTCACCGAATCGGAGTCCGAAGGTAATAAAAAAATAACGCGGACAGAAGGGCAGTAAAATCAAAAAACGAGTTACCACCACAGGCGGATAATACAGCACATTGGCTATAATTCCCTATAAAAATCAACTTATATTTTGTACAAATACAGCATATATTTTTTATCAATTTTTGAAAGTTACTCTTAACGTTGAGTCTTATGGCAGAATAAATTTTTAAACTGGAATATCTCGGTTCAAACACATCGAAAATCATACTGAAATTCAAAATTTTTTTAGTTTCCACCCCATTTACCAAAAAACAAAGGCCTTGGTCAAAAAATTTTACCCTCAAAAAATTTCTGTCATCAATTTGAAAGACAACAGCGTTTAATTCAAAGTCTTTGCTTCAGTAATAAATGAAATATGGAAAAAATACAAAATAAGTCATTTTTCGACCAGCCGGCGGACGGCTGGCTGCTTCGTCAGTCGCATCTAGCTCGCAAATCTCTATATCTCCATCTCGTACTGTGTTACATTTTATTTTGATATTTCTTATCTTACCGGAATTTTAAGTGTGTGCCTCTTTATAGTGGTTTTTCTTATTTGTTTATATTTTCATAAATATAGTTTTGTGGGTGAGTGCATATAAGCAGTTCAGAACCTAACACTGGTTAAAATCGGGTTAAACTTAATTTTTCACTTTTTAAAAAACTTAAATACATAGTGGTTGGTGTCCAGTGTTGTTAACGAGGATAATCTAGGTGAGAAACTTTACTTTAGTTAATTGTAGGGAATTCCACATTCCAATTATTGATTTTTTACCAGAATTTAGCACTGCACGAAATAGAAACTGATAACAATAGTTCTGTGAGAGAAATCGGCTCACTTGTAAAATAACGCAAAAACACCAAAAACGGATAAAACTTTCTTTACTTTTATGAATTCCACTAAGATTGATATAAACAAAGAGGTAGATGAGGACATAGAAAGTGATTGCTGATGGTAAAAATGGAAATCTTGCCACTAATGTTTGTTGTTATATTGCCTATACGAGCAAATAAAATATTGAAAGTTTAAAGGAAAGACCGAAAAAGTACAGAGCAGCTGGTATTGAATCCTGGTAGATCGCTTCGTAAGGGTGGATTTGACATAAATAAATGTGTATTTTGCCAGAAGCGGTCTGCTGGGAAGAGTTTATCCCAAGTTATGTCTAAAAATATAAAAGCTAAAATAAAAAACATTGCATCGATCTCTTCAGAAGTTTTAGAAAGAGGCTCCAATGATTTAATAGCAATGGAGGCAAAATATCACGTGAATTGCCTAATGACAGAATAAAAAGAATTGGGAAAACAATTTGCTAAACCACAGTCTATTGGGAACCCTCAGATCTTCAGGGGCAAGGAGTTCCAGGAGCAGATGGGAAAGCCAATGCCTTGTTGCCAGACATAATGGTAATGGGAGCTCCTGAGTGCTTCCAGAGGGAATGCCGAACCTCGGAACTTCAGAGACAAGGAGAGAAACCTTGGTAGGAAAGCCGATACCAAGGGGGAGAGGACTTCGTGTGGAGGAATGCCGATCAACTCTTTTGGTGCTTGGCTTTTATAGCTGACTGGTGAAGTGGAAAACTGTTCACCGGATATTAGTACTTAGACTCACTTTAAATACAAAATTAGGTACATACATTATAGACATAAGAATGACTAAATTAATTGGGGCTCATTGCACTCCTGTTAAAATTGCTAAAAATGTTATGGTTTTGAAGAAAACGCAATTGACTGCCCCAAAGTCAATCTTCTCAATATACAAGTGTCCAGAAATGAATGTGTGACACCTCAGGGCAGTTTCCTTAGGTGAAAATAAACCGATTTACACTAAGTCAATTAAGTTCCTTAAAAAGTTATGTTAATGTTAGTTAAAATTAAATAAACACTTTTTTTTGGGCCAATAACTTTTTAAGTCAGCAAAATTATAAATAATTTGATAAAAATCGCTATATTTTCATTCAAGGAAGTTACCCTTGTAATATGGCTTATTTGTTTCTGGATACCCCGTCTTTTAAAGAATAGAAGCTGGTTAACTTGGGGACAATCAATTGTATTTTTTTTTTTAAACATATTTTTAGTTATTTCAACAGGAGTACTTTTTTTATCCAAAATGAAAATTCACATTGTAATTTGGAAATTTAAAAATCAAAATAAATATATTGAAATTACCAAATTCAAATAATCCCGCGGGGGTGACCTTTTGCGAACGAGCGACAGTGAATGAGTGGTGCTACATAGATTGCTTAATGCTTTCACTCACTCGGCTATCGACTCATATGACTGCAATATTAATTGCGAGTTGCGAGCGATCTTTCAGTAAGCTAAAACTAATACTTCCGTATTTGAGAGCATTAATGGGTCAGAAAAGGTTATGTGACCTAGCTTTGTTTGGTGAAGAGTGAATAGAAACCAAAGAAACAGATTTTGAAAATGTTATAAATCTATTTGCATCGTAGAAGGCAAGGAAAGTGCAATTTTAATTTTAAGGATATTAAAATGCACTTTTATGGACTAATTTTTGTTCTCAAACAGAAAATAAAGTTTTGTAAGATTTGTGACTGTTCTTTTAGTGTTTCTGTTTATTTTATTTTTATATAATTTGCGAAAAGGTGCAACTTCGATACTTACTCAGGTGCCATTTTCGATTGGTACTCCCATGGTAATATACAACATATTCTGTAAAACACCTATCTCCAAAATGGATGTAAAATGTCATTGTAAAATTGTAGCTAACGACGAATAATTTCTCTCCAAATTTTTTTTATAAAATTTTGGTATAAAAAGTTCCATTTCAGTACCATACTGTTTTTAAAGGTAAAGAGGAGGTCTGTACTTTAAATGTTAGTACTAAGTGGTTTGCCATAGAAAAAAATGAAGAGGCACTTCTCTATATATTTCATAAAATTTTAAGTTGAACTTTTATTTTCCTCTACATACGGCTATTACCTCTTACAAAATATTTTACAGTTTCTAAGAGATACTAATTTATGTGGCACACCCTATAGGTGCTGATATCTGGAAAAACTTCATTTTTATATTTCTGTAATAGTTTTTATGATTTTTAATTGTGCTTTACTTTAGGTGTGTCCAATACGACAACTTTCTGACGGTCAGAGATGTAGAGTGGTGTTTGCATGGCTTGCTTGGCAATGTCCTCATCTACTTTTACTTGATGAACCCACAAATCACTTGGATATGGAAACTATCGATGCCCTTGCTGATGCTGTAAACGATTTTGAAGGCGGAATGGTATTAGTTAGTCACGACTTCAGATTAATTAGCCAGGTAAATCTATTAAAATAAGCTTCTAATCGTTATTAAATTAAATATAAATTGTAGGTTGCAGAAGAGATATGGGTATGTGAAAAAGGTACATGCACAAAGTGGCAGGGAGATATTTTGTCGTACAAGGGCCACTTGAAATCTAAAATTTTGAAGGACGCAGCAAAACGAAAATAGTTTTCATCCGTAACTTTTTAATGGGCAAATTAATTTCATTAGATCTATTGCAATGTAACTGGTAATTATGCTAGTATTTTCCAACCATGTACATTTTAAATGATTAAGTAATTTATTTTGCTTTATTTTTATTGCTGTTACACTCAAATTATGTTTGGTAGAAATGTATTTTAAACAATAGAAGTATTTGCACTTTTTAGAATAATAGAAATATAAATTGTCCATCCATTCATATTTTTCAATTGTGTTGGTTCATTGGATGAGCAACTAAGGAACAATTTTATTTTCCGATGTCAGAAGCTGGCCGTTGTATATTATTTAATTGAATTTTGCGAGAATTAATTAATTACATTTTCTATATTCACATTTCAATTTCACAATTTAAATTTATGTGGCTGGCAATAAAAGATACATTGACATATTCTTATATTAAATTGGTACACCGGACTGCTACTGACACTAAATGGCTCCAAGAAAAAATTTGTGATAAAAATATGTAAAAACTAAAAAATAAAACACGTAACTATTACTTTTTTTTTAATTGAAAAATATATAGTGTATATTTATACTTATAATTTTAATACATGACAGGAGTCGGTACATTAGTTCAAATAATAAACTTATAAAGTAGTACTTAAATTTAAAGCATTTGTAATCTTACTTATGGTTTCTTGAGATATTGATGCTTCTTTCAAAAACTGGAAAAAGGAAAAAATAGATTAGAAAATTTTAAAATTTATTTAAGCCCCCTACTACACATCATCAGACCAGACCACCCGACTGTCAGGACAAACTGTCCTTTGGTAATAAGTTTGACGTGTAGACATATTGCCAGAGAAAATATGTCGAGATGGACAGTTCAGTCATTTTGTAGAATATTGGACCAATTGTAAGTTTGTAAATTTCATATGAACTACTGAACTGAATGAATCGTGGGATTCTCTGGATAAGCTTTTAGGGATTTATGAATTTGATAATGTCTAGGCTTGCTGTCAATAGGCCGACTTTATCAGTATGATGTTTCAATTCAATTTCAAGCTGTTAACTAACAGATCACCAAATCCAAGATAAAAGTTTGATCTTCGATCAGCAGATATTCTGTTGTATGGACATCAATCAGGTCGAGTTCAAGTGATCCATAAATTTGTCTAGTATAGTCTTTCCCGAAGTCAGTTGAACATGCAAAAAAAGTCTGGTAATAAAATTTAATGAGTTTCATAGGCGTCCCTAAAAAAGTTTTCTGCTAAAGGTAAAAAATTATAATAATTTATATATATAATGTGTAGAAAATTTCTATTATATGTTCATTTGGCCAACAACATATTTTAATTATTTATGTCCTCAAACAATTTATTATATTGGTGGTAAATATCGTTTTGTTCCATTTCAAAAGGTCTCCAAAATGCCATGTGATAATATTAGTAAACAAAATATCTCTCTTATTTCTCCCTTTCGCAATTGTAATATGAATGATTGATAGAAGGTGCCTATAATAGATTAAAATTACCCGAATCACACCAAATTCCGCATTGCTGCACTGCACTGCTGGGCAATTTATCAACCACTTGTCATCTGCTGAGATTTATTGCCCAGCAGCTCAATGCAACTGTGTTTGTTTTCCTTTGCCTGCGCTCGCATTCTTCAACTGAGCATATACATTTCTACCACCTCCACGTTTAGTTTGACCAGACCTGTACAAACTGTCAATCTGTTGGTTCTTCAATTGATATGGGAAAGTCTATAACTATGATGTTGGCTACTCTGTCAATGGTAAAGTGCATGTACTAAATTGATGGATTTATTGCTACCGAGCTACTATTGGTTAATTACTGGATTTTCCAAAAGTCGTGAACACATGAAAATAATGCGGGAATTTCTACACCAATTTTATTTATAAAAGTGTAGTGGTGAAATAAAGATTAAGTGTGTATTATATTTAACTTGGATCTTTTAAACTTGCAATTAATAAATATAAGTATGTTTTTTTAGATCCTGGGACAAGCTAATAACTCTACAGGGTGAGCCCGGAGGAAAAAATTTTATATGAACTTGTGACATTATTTTCTCATCTATCCATATCCAAGAGATTGCTCACCATTTCCGGGACACCCTGTATAATCTAGCTCTGCGGACCTAGTAGGTCCATGGCTTGGTTGACTGTCTTTCTCCACTTGTTTCTATCTTTTGTCTTTTCTTTCCACCTGACAATACCCAGTTGTTGTAAGTCCCTCTCCACCTCAGTTTTCCATCTTGTTTTCGGTCTTCCTCTCCTCTTCTTACCGCCAATTGTTCGTTCCATTACCATTTTTGGTATCCTTGTCCCTGGCATTCTTTCAAAATCCATCTTAATCTTTGTGCTTTTATCACACTTACTATACTTACCTCCTTATATAAGCTTTTTATTTCCTCATTTGTTCTTCGAAACCACCCTTCTTCTGTTCTTTTCCCTCCAAAAATGTTCCTCAATATTTTCCTCTCCCATACTTCCAATCTTGTTCTGCTTTATTCAATGTCCACGTTTCACTGGCGTATGTAACTACTGGTGTTATCACTGTCTTGTACAGCCTTATCTTTGTTTGTCTAGAAACGTTTTTGTTTCTCAGTATTCTCTGCAACCTCGCTACACTTTTGTTTCCTAACATTATTCTGGCTTCGATTTCTTCCTCTATTTTCGGTCTTCTAAATAAGGTTCCTAAATATGTGAAATGTTCAACTTCCTCAAATCTGTACGTTTTCCCTCTGTATCTACCTTCAGAAAATTGTCTTTCTGATATTCTTCTTCCGACCATTCCATATACTTAGTTTTTGTCTCGTTAATATATAGTCCCCTTTTACTACTCATCTATTCTCCTTATTACCTCTTTTAGTTCTGCTTTATTTCTTGCTAACACTACAAGATCATCCGCAAATGCCAAACACTGATGTCTTTTATACTAAACAAGGCCTCATCTATTAATTCCTGCATCTCTTATGACTTTTTCTAGCACTAAACTAAATAACACTGCTGATAATGGATCTCCTTGTCTGATGCCATTTTTAACTTTGAACTCTTCCGTGCATCTATTGTTTACTTTTACTTTATTCTCTGTCTTCTTCAATGTTAGGCGTACCATGATCCTTATCTTCTTGCTGATTTCTAATTCCTCTAAGACCTTATATAGCTCACTTCTTTTTATGTTGTCATAAGCTTGTTGGTAATCTACAAACAGAACTACTGTTGGCTTACCGTATTCGAAGCTTTCAGCCTGAATATCTCGCAGAGTGAAAACTTGGTCTACTGTACTTCTTCCTTGTCTAAACCCCGTCTAAATTTTAAGAATTACCCAAACGAAATGTATATTAGGTCAGATCCTTCAATATTGTTTTATTTTATAAAAAAAATGTATAAACAAATTCTTGGAACATCGCAGTAGATTAAGATATTTAATAGATATTTAAAATATCTTATTTATTATTAAATATAGAAAATTGTGGTTTGCATGAATATTTTCCACTTGAGAAAAATTTTCAGGTCAAAACAGATTTTTAATGCATTTAGTTTTGGAGTTTATTGCCTAAAAATTAAAAGTTATATTTTGAACGAGTTCATGTAATGGTTAAAGTTTGACTTTTTCTGAAATATTTTAATGGTGTCTCACTTACAGGTCAAAATTATTACTTTTTTTTTAAATAGAAACTATATTGGCCACAGCCTAGTTAAAAAGGTGTTCTACACTTTGATAAATACATAGTTTGTCACATTTATCTTGGAAAGAAAAAAGTTTCTATTTACGCCCACTATATAAACTTATTTTTCTCTGACTATGTACAACAATGGCAACACATATACAGTTTATGTATCGTACCTAGTGTATTTATTTTTTAATCATACTTGACTTCGCTCATCCTTTTAATTTATAGAAAAAAAAGCTGTACCTCTGTACTTTTAGAAATAAATATGATAAACTACAGATCCTTCATAAATGTTTACAAGCTACCTGATCGTCAAGCTTAGACAACCCAACACTATACAATTGGTACTGGTAATGAAAATTCCCTAAATCTTGGCGTCACCCATATTAATGATTTGTTTCCAATGAACGACAATCCATTATGTCTATGCTCGAGATAATGCGATCACTGATTGGTTGAATAGAGTCTCGTGAAATATACACCAATTAGCGATCGCATTATCTCGAGCATAAGCTTGGCAAACACGTAGCTTGTAAACATTTATGAAGGCTCTGTATACAGGGTGATTGGTGAGGAAACGGCCATACTCGAGGAACGTGTTCAGGAGATCAAAATATACAAAAAAAGTCATATAAACATGTGTCCGATTCTTAACCGTTACTGGGATATTAATTATTAATAGTAAGCGATTAACCGCGGAAAATAATAGTTAATATTTGTTTTTTGTGGTTGTAACGTTCAGCAGTTATTGTTTCAAATAATATTTGGCATTTGTTTTTTGTGGCTGTCACATCCAGCTGTTATTGTTAGTTAGTTAGTGCTACACACTTCCGCAATGCCGGCGATATTTACACATCAAGAATATGCCGATATGATTTTCATTTATGGATACTGCAACGGGAACGCTAGACGGGCCGTTGCTGAATACCAATACCGCTATCCTAACAGAAGAACCCCTCACAGAAGTGTATTTCAATCAATTTTTGTCACTTCCCGCGAAACCGGCATGTTTCCCAGTGCAAGAATCACATCGGAACGAGAAAATGGTCTTGATGTGCGTGTAGAAGAAGAGATTCTTGATGTTGCACAACGTAGTCCAGGTGTAAGTTCAAGGCGCATTGCAAGTCGCCTTCAAATTAATCAGACAGCAGTATGGACGACTCTTCGCAGGAATGGGCTGCACCCTTTCCATATTCAGCGGGTCCAAAATCTTCAGAATGGTGACTATGCCCTAAGGTTGCAATTTTGCAATTGGGTAAATCAAAATCCTAGGCTATACCGTTACATTTTGTTTACGGATGAAGCCCAATTCACACGCGATGGAATTAACAATCATCATAATGAACATCGATGGTCAGATGAAAATCCCCATGCCACGGTTGAAAGTAACTTTCAGCATCGGTTTAGTATTAATGTATGGTGCGGAATGATCAACAATCAACTCTTGGGCCCGATTGTGTTAGATGGTCGTTTGACAGCGGACATTTATCTACAATTTTTGCAAAATCGTTTAACAGATCTACTGGATGATGTACCTTTAGATATACGACAAAATATGTACTTCCAGCATGACGGGGCCCCTGCCCATTTTAGTAATATTGTACGAAATTACTTAGATAACCACTTTCCTCGCCGCTGGATCGGCCGAGGAGGTCCACAAAATTGGCCTCCGAGGTCTCCGGACCTCACTCCTCTCGATTACTGTCTATGGGGGTGGCTAAAATCTTTAGTTTATGCTACAAAAGTTCAAACAAGAGAGGAATTATTAGACCGCATCGTCAATTCTGCCGCTGTTATAAGAAATGACCAAAGAGCACTCCAAAGAGCCACACGTGCGTTCCAAAAGCGAGCTAGTAAATGCATCGAAGTTGGCGGTGGTATTTTTGAAAATATTCTACATTGAATTGTTTTTCTTCACTTGTATAGAATAGTACATTATAATAAATGATTTGTTTCGTCATTGAGGTGCTGCTTTTATTATATTTTTTTAAGTGAAATCTCCGTAACGGTTAAGAATCGGACACATGTTTATGACTTTTTTTGTTTATTTTGATCTCCTGAACACGTTCCTCGAGTATGGCCGTTTCCTCACCAATCACCCTGTATATTTAAGTAAAGCACAGATCACTTTCTTTTTCAGAAGGCAATTTTAGGGTTCATTAAAAAAAATGTAAATTAGACCTATGAGTCAAAAAACCGTTAGGAGTTAAGGTTACAATTTATTAATATTTTGGTAGGGGATATGTAAATAAGACCATATATTCAGAAACAAATTCTTTTGTAATTTCAAGTCAGGCTTTGTTCTTTTTCAAAACAAAAATATCACTTTATTTTCTATTATGCGCCCGTTGTACTAACTCATCCAGTTATTTTAAAAACATTTTTTGTCATATACAAAGATGAACCATCTTGTTTTTTGAACAAAATTGCGAAATAAAAAATTAAAATAGGGTGGTCAACCCTGAGATCTTGAAAATGGTTGCACATATATTGGAAAAAATTTTCATTTTTCTTAAAGTTCCAGCATTTGAATTTTGAAAAATGGAATGTTAATATAAGATATAATTTAATAAAATAATGAAAAATAAAAACCTGATTGTATATCTATTAGTTGAATATGACAAATATTTTCCTAATATGTGTGCAACCCTTTTCAGATATTTTAATTTTTATTGTGAAATTTTTTCGTAATAAAAGGGGTTTCGAGTCCCATAACCTAAATATAACTAATTATATAATACATAAAATAAATTTTGCGAGACTGACTGATAATAGGATGTTCTAGTTAAAAAAAAATAGCTAACAACTTTTAGCGAGTTCACTTAGAATGAGTAAATTGTTAGGATTCAGACTAAGGCTTAAGTTGCGACAAAGGCTAAGACATAAATTATTTTATGGGAAAAATTTTTCTATCAAAAAAAAAGTTCCTGGTTGCTAGGGTCACCAGTATTTATTATGTCAGGACTGTTTTTAATATTTTTGTTCCAGTTTGCAGCATATAAGAACATGTAAATTTATTATTTACAAAAAAAATCGTAATATGAAGGATTTGTTGATTTTACTATTGGAAACAAAAGGAATACTTATAAATATTTTACAGTAACAAATAACAAAAAATGTAACCTTATGGTGTAATCGTATCATATATGGTCTATCCAAACCCCAAAGTCGGAAGGTTTTTAGCCTGTCTGGAGGTCTAGGCCTATAATGTGTAGAAGATATAATACAAGTGTATTAACAACTTTATCTGCAGTTAAATTTTTACTTATGCCTGTCATATAATTTGTATCCCAAAAAAGCAGCCATCATCTTAAAAAAATTATGTTTTTGTTTATTCAACTTACTATCATATGACTATCCATTTCTTCCAAAGATTTATCAATCCAGAAAAGTGTTCTGTCCTTTTGGCCACACTCATATTTTGCTATAAGGGCTAGATGAGTAACAGCTAATGTTAAAGCGGCTGCTCTTGCCTCCAAAAGTCTAGGATCTAAAGGTGGGTACATACTTCGGACCATATCATCAACTCTACTTGAGATTCTTTTAGCACTCTAAAAAAGTTATCCCCAGTCATTTATATGTGGAAAAAGTTTGTTCAATATGATGGTAACTATTTTCTTTTACACAGAAAAACTATCCTCGATTTTTAAGTAAAATATTTATAGAAAAATTTGCTAATATCCATTTACTTTTGCACAGGAATGGTTGAATTAAAACAATTAAATCATGTCTTAACGTTTTGCTAAAGAAAACAATTCAACAGTTAAATGTATTTTTAAGTGATTTAAATATTCAAAAAATACCTCAACAATTTGACTGAAATTTCCAGACACTGGAGTCGAATTCATGGCTAAAGCTGTAAGGCGTTCTGCAAGATACCGACATGTTTTCAGAATTGCTAAGCAGTGAGGTATTAAGCCAGTGGCATCATCTATCCATTGTTCATCTGAGAGTATATCGTCAAAATTTAAATTAACTTCGCCTAATTCTAATTCTGGTGTATCTGGATCAATTAATTGCTTTTCAGGTCTGCAACACATTTAAATTAGTTTATTATCTGTAAGTCCCGATATTTTACCTTAGAATGTCCAGATGGGAATCTAAATAACCAGTTTTGTAAAATAATTTTTGTCTTCTGCATATGACTATTAATATAACAAAAGCACTTACAAAAATAGCTGATAAAACACCAAATGCTATAGCAGCTACCATTTCTGCATATTCAGGCGACATTTTTAGTTTTCTGTGGGAAAAAATTATCATTAAGGTATTAATTTTAAAAACATTTGTAAAATACAGCTTGATAATTTAAGGATTCTCTACACATTGTTACATATCATAAGTAATGTTTAGATTTTGTGGAAAATAAACGGTTCAGCAACAGTTAATGCAACATGCGACAGCAACAGGTTGTTTACATGACCGAAAAATACATTCACAAAACCCGAAACAAGAAACAACTAAAACAATTTTAAAACTAGGTATGTCGTACTTCGAGTTTAAAACTTTTCATTTAAGAATGTTTGTTGTCATATTTGTCTTATCTATGTTTATTGATATCTACATTTTTTTCCAGAAATTGTAGGTACCTACTTATATCATGTTTCTACTATGTGTAATTGTAGCTTTACAGATACAGATTTTACAGTTAAAAAAAATCGATGTTTGACCTTGATTTAATTATGAGTAATACACACAAACCAATCAATTAATGAAGACTAGAATGTATGAAACAAATACTATAATATTCAAAATTAGATCCAACTGCAATTAAAATCGCAAATAAAATTATGCGTTTCATGTGAACTTTGGTTTCAGACACAAGACACAATGGTCGCGCCACGCGCGCCATTATTCTATGGCTAGAAATTGGCCTCAATGATTTGGGATCGAGGGGGATTATCCCTCTTTATCCTGCCTCATCTCG